GCAACTGAGGCCCTGGGGTTTGTGCATTTTCGTCGTATCCACCGCACTGTTTCTTTTAATAGAGTCTACATGACCCTAAATCACCAACCCTTTCCTAATTTTTAGGCATGGCTTTGACCAGGAGTGTTATCGGATGTGAATTGGACTTCTTCAGCAACGGGGGGGGGGGCAGGACGACATGTAAATGCCGATCCTAAGCCTGCAGTGTTCAAGTGCTAGCACCATCAACTCCGCTCAAGAGAGAATCATGGTGGAATTGACGCAATCAGCAATGCTGGAACGCGTCGGTGAGGTATTTTGGTGCGCCGTGGAGTGGAGCTTCCACTACTTGGACTTCTGTGTCTTTGTAGTTCTGCTGCTTGCAGTTCTATGGCATGTTCAGAAGCTCCAGAAACGCGTGGTTCTCGCAATTGAAACCACACGACAGCAGATGGAAGAACTGCATGAACAACATGCCACTAAAATACTCCAGATGCTTGCTGAACGCCCATTCTCTGGCGGGCCCACCTCGGTTGGTCCAGACGACTTCTCCAGCGAGTTTCGAACTCAGCTGAAGAACTTCGAGGATGAGAATACGGTCATCAAGAATCACCTTGTTAGCCTCAAAAGCAGCGTGAGCCAAATCGCTGGATTACAGGTGGAAGTTGGTGAGGTCAAGAAAGGACTGTCGGCATCAGCGGCACAACTGCTCAAGCTCACCAACGAGCACCAAGCGGTTTCAGGAAACATCAAGCACCTGATGGATGACAACTCCAAACTGAATGACGCCTCTGCAAAAGGCCTGAGCCAGATGAGGAAACAGTTGGAGGATGTTGCCCAGAAGTTTGAAGCCCTGAAGTTGGAAGAAGTCAACGACAAGATGATCAGAGTGGACACAAAGCAAGGCCAGGCAATTGATGCCCTACGTGCATTGAGCAACGACCTCAGTGTGGTGAAGACGGTGTTGGAACGTCGCATTGACTCACTCAAGAGCGACAACAAAGATGCCTACGGCTGGATCAGCTCCAACATTCGGGGCCTCAATCCGGTCGTCACCATGACTAAGAAGATCCAGGATGCTGTGGATAGGCTCGAGTATGCCGTCCATGAAGTTCACCAAGGTGGCAATGGACAAAACGAGACGCTGGCAAACTGCGAAGACAGGCTAGTAAGGGCAGAAAGCCTCCTGTCTGGCTTGATAGACCAAGTGAATGACTTCGATGGTCGCAGCACAGCCAGTGCAGAAGCCATCACGGCTGAACTTCCACTTTTGGTTGAGATCCGTGATCGACTACCTAAGCTGCCCCACCGCAAGCCGCCTTCGAATGATCGCCCGCCTGAGAACCCATCCAGTAGCTCAACGAGCCAAAGTGGGTCGCTACCTCAGCAGCAGCAACCACAAGGGGTTCCCCAGTCGCTTGGTCCTCAGACAATGCCGCCGATCCAGATCATCACACAACCACCCCAGCACGAGGTACCACAAGGAGGCAGCATCCAGCTCAAGCTGTCGGACCATGTCGGAGCCCTGACACCAGCTGCCCGTCCGAATACGATCTTCGTCCAGCAGCCGAATGCCGCAGGGAGTGTCCTGGTTCAAGAAGCAACAAACGAGGACCTCATGAGAGCGCTATTACGCCGTAGCAACTAGTTTCCGCGGAGCATGAATATAAGAATGTAGGATACTCTTTGCCTGTAGGGTACGCCTACTGTGTAAACCTTTATGGCAGTTTGTTTCGGAAGATGCATCCGCGCAACAGAGTAGCCCGATCCCACACAGAGGGACGTTTTGGCTGCAGTACCATGAGTGTAAAGCGACCTAATTCCTTGCATGCGTGCTGCCATTAATTAGTAATACCTTGCATGCGTGCCAACCAGCATTGTAATTTGTAATTTGTTGATGTGTAAATTTGTAAATCTGTGCATGTCAAATCTCTAATTCACTCGGAGTCCCGAAGCATGACTCAGTGGATAAATTGGACCCGGCTCCGGCCACTTAATTCGACGGTCGCTTTTTTACACGCACCAGAATCCCAGAGAGGCAAAACAGAACCGAATGACAGTGACAAGTGTCTTCAAGTTAGGCAGCTCTAGCGCTTTTGTAGCAGCTCTAGCGCCGAGGCTCTTCAGATGCTGTGATTGTGTGATTAGGCTCCAGCAACAGGACAGAATAGCCCTGAGTCTCCTATGCGCCCCGTACAACACCTTCCATATGCAGCATCCGGAACATGATGAAGATGATGACGATGTTGTCATGATTGGGTGCACGACTCAACACCTGACTCAACAAAGTTTGAGGCACCTGACTCAACAAAGTTTGGGGTCCACCTTTCCGTGTGTGTTGGTTGAATCAGACTCAGCTGATGACAGGGATAACATGGGCCTTGATTCGCAAACCATTGCAAAGCTTTCACGAGCCTTAGGGGTTGACTCCAAAGTTGTTCCAGTAGAAACGTTGGCGTACAGCTTTCTTTGTAAATATCGTCGTGGTGAACCTTTGCTTAAGACCCAGATTTTGGAAGTTTGGGATGCAATTCCACGGCGTTATCTGCGGAGAGCAGGACAAGCTGCAGCCTCACGTCTTTTAGTGCTAGGAGTAAACCCAAGGGCCACTAATTGCTTCACTAGGGCTAGTCAAGACATGCCCCATGTCCATGATTTACTTCAGTCCTTTGTTCAGCAGGTTGTACCGGGGTTTGTCCACTCAAGCCTCGTTATACGGCAAAACTATCTCGCGCCACCCCATAGAGACACAAAAAACGTGGGCCCGAGCCTCGTAATCTGTCTCAGTACCCATACGTCAGGAGGAGGCTTGTGGGTTGCTGACACCGCAGGGGATGTGAAGGTGACCTTCGAAGGGGTTAGTGTGTCAGGCCGCATCGTTGATTTGAACAGTCCGTTCATTTTCTTTGCGGGGTCTCGACTTCATGCCACACAAAAGTGGGAGCCTACGGAGAGAAGGGTACTGCTCACGGCATTCTCGCCGCTAGGAGCCATTCAACTCCCTAACCGCTCGCAGCAAATCTCGGAGTCCGGAAATGGAACACAGAGTCGGATTTCGGACTATTTCAGGTCGCTTGAACATGTGGATTAACTGGCTGGGGAGCAGCATTGCATGGCGGGATCATCAACAGGAATTCGATTTTCTTGAACCTTGCAATGGGGTCACATTGGAGAGTGCATGCATGTAATTCATAATTCTGCTGCCCTGAATTGGTAATTTCTCTGCACCCAATACCAAAAGAATTGACAAGCTTTCCTGACTCCCTTAATTCGAATCTTCAAACCTTAATTGATTCCTTAATTCAATACCCCTGCCAAATGCCAGCTGCCTCCCTAGGATCTGCACTCAACATAAAATTTACATGCTTACGACCTCAAATTGCTCGCCGCTTGGCTGCATTTAAGATGAGTGATGAATGATGAATGGTGTGATGCCAGGCAAACACATAAATTAAACATAAAAAAACAGCAAAACAAGCCTTGCCTGCTTGCACCACACAACCACCTCATCAATACCATGCTTTGCCACCGTCCACTCCGACCGCCCAACTTCTGCCGGGAGGTTCCTTGAAGTCTGTCATTCCTCGCAAGCTATTCACAGTTTAGGGGTCTAGGGTATTGGTTCCTCTTTTTGCTAACTCAGTACTTAATTTGGTTCTTTGCCGGAGCCCAAAGCCCCAAAACACATGTTAGAATGCTGCGCCATGGCTCTTCGCGTATCTCTGACCTTCGAAGTGGATGGACTACTGGTCAGAAACTGGAAATCTGTCTGCTCAGAGCAAGAAAGAGACCGGAGACCTGCAAAAGTTCGAGGAGTTTGAGGAATCTCACGAGATCCATCGGAACTAAAGCTATAGTGACTTCACCACAGAGATTTTGCAGACAATGAGGCTGTACATTAGCTACATGGAAGTGGGCAAGCTGCTTCCATAAAGCTAATAGGTCTTGGCTGATAGAAGCTACACCCTTGACAGAGGTCTGGCTATTGACTTGCAGCGCAGTTTTGAGGATTGTCGAGCTGCGCACTGATAGTCTGCTTTTCTTGCAAACAGCGCTTCTTGCACTTCTGTTTATGATTATCGAGACTGCGAAGGTTGAGGACAGAGCTGGTTGCAGTACAGTATAAAAGAAAACTGAGGTGACTGGTCTGGATGCTGATACCCTTACAGGTCTTTTGGGACATCCACCCAATACCCGGAACAGTTTTCGGATGGATATGTAACCTAGTCTGCCCGTTAAAAAATTGCCATATGGCAATGGCGATGGCCAACCGCGCACTCCGCGCACTCTGGATGGTCTTGGATGGAAGTGTAGCCTAGTCTGCCTGTTGAATCACCTTGTGGTGATGTACGAAACCCGGAAAGCCTGACACATGATGAGGAAGGCAATGGGAGAAGCAGTGAGGGAGTGAATCGTGATGGGAGACAATAATTAACTACGGCCTTTTGCTGACAATGCATGCATGCGGTGAAGATGCACTGACAAGATCGTCAACAGGATGATTCTGTACTTCAGTAAACTGTAGTGTTGTGTGCGCATGTCGGAACCATTTGAACATACGGGGTTTATGGGGCTTTGACTGTAAGAAGCTTTAGCTTACTTGGTTTGGAGGGACTTACTTTTGTTTTGGTTTTTTAAAGTTACTCTGACATGTGGAGCACCTGTTTTCGAACGCCGCTTTGTCGCTCTATTCAACCTCGCCTGTGAGCTTCGTTCTCTGCCATGCGAGAGGGAAAAAAACCCTGAACGACCCAGGTGGTGAAAGCCAGGAAGCTTCATAAGCCGGAGAGATCAGGACTCTCAGGAGCCCTATGAAGCATGCTTAGGGTAAAGGGTTCAGGGTTTAGTGTTTAGGTTTCAGGGTTTAGTGTTTAGGTTTCAGGGTTTAGGTTTCAGGGTTTAGGTTTCAGGGTTTAGGGTTTAGGGTTGAGGGTTTAGGGTTTAGGGTTCAGGGTTTCGGGTTTAGGTTTGAGGGTTTAGGGTTTAGGCTGGCGGGTTAGGCTTTAGGAATGTCAGGAGCAATGCCACAGCCAAAGAAGTCGATTGAAGACTTGTTGCGGCATGTTGCCCAACGTCTCTTTCAAGTGACTTAGCAGTTGAGTGAACACGCTCTACTTTTTTTTGGTGGTACAGCTATCCAACCTATAGCACTGGAAGTTTACGCCTGCTTTTGGGCTTATGAGCTGAGCAACGCAGGTTATTCTCCTCCCTTCGATCTCCGACCTGGAAGACGCTAGTTCGGCTTTCGAATCATTTTATACCTTTCCCCTTATTAGACCGAGGTAAGCCCTTGAAACCCTAAACCCTAAACCCTTTAAACCCTAAACCCTTCAAACCCTAAACCCTCAAACCTCAACCCTAAACCCTAAACCCTTTAAGCCCTAAACCCTCAACCCTAAACCCTAAACCCTAAACCCTAAGCCCTTTAAACCCTCAACCCTAAACCCTCAACCCTAAACCCTAAGACCTCAACCCTAAACCCTAAACCTCAACCCTAAACCCTAAGCCCTCAACCCTAAACCCTGAACCCTAAACCCTAAACCCTAAGCCCTGTCTTTTTTCGAAGGGCCAACTTAGGAAGAGCCCGTGGCCTCCGCCTTGCAAACCTCCGTTGATCCCAAGTTCGCTTCAGGCGGCTATGAGGTTCGGGTGAAGAACCGGGTATAGGCGTTCGATGGTTTAGGGGTTTAGGGTTTATAGGGTTTAGGGATTTAGGGGTTTAGGGTTTAGTTCGCGTGAAGAACCGGGTTTAGGCGTTCGAAGGCTTTAGGGTTTAGGGGTTTAGTTCTTGTGAAGAACAGGCTTTTAGGCGTTCGAAGGCTTTAGGGTTTAGGGGTTTACTTCGGGTGAAGACCAGGGTTCAGGCGTTCGATGGCTTTAAGGTTTAGAGGTTAAGTGCTTGAGGGCTTTGTATGGGTTTAAAGCTGAGGGTTTAGGGGCTATGAGGTCAGGGAGAAGAACAAGGAGAATTTCCTCGAAGGCGCTGGGGTGGCCACGAAGTACCTGGAAGTCGCCACCAACTTCTTCCAATCCCGTGGTCTCTACCCAGGAAGGGTGGATGTCATCTTCAGGCAATGGTTCAAGTCTGATACTGTGCAAGTGAAAAGGATGGTAGCGGATCACCTGGGGAATATCCTGGAAGTATTGCAGAACCTGCGGGTGCACGGAGATCGCATCGGTGAGTCTATTGAATGCAATGAGAGCTCTGCCGCGTATGTCGTAAACTACTGTGACGTCAACGTCAGTGCTTTGCCAAGCGTCTCCGAAGAGCCGTGCGGAGAGCATTTCCCAGAGCCCTTTGTACTCACTGGTCGCTTTGTGCTTCATGTTTGCCCATCAACTTGGAAGCAGGACGTCATCTTTCATGCGGGCAACTTAGTCCATGAGTCATCGCATCACTTTGGAACCCGGGACTTTGCGTACGGTATGACAGGCTGCATGGCTTTGGACCAAAACAAAGCCCTTTCCAACGCAGACACGTGGCCTGGCAATACTTTACCACAGTATGCTGTATTGTAATATATTATGCTATCATCTACTACATTGTACCAAGATCTGTCTGAAGGTCGGGTTTGGGTCTCAGGATAGTTTCCTCGGGGCATCACTAGCTTAAAACTGATGCTTAGGCTTATGATGTTGTTCGTTGCCCCTAAACCCTAGTAGGATCCTTGTGAAAGCGCTAGAAACTGCCTGGTTCTGGATGGTGGCTGGGCTTGTTCTTGGTTGAGGATTCGGCCTTCTTAGGAAACGTATTCCTTCAGGTTCTTCATTATGGACATACTTGTACCGTGGAAGTATCACCTAAAGCGTAGGCTAAGTACTAAGACCCCTGCATTATAGAACCATTATGGCAACCTTTATTGCAGAGCCTGTATAGACCTCTTTCGGAGGGTCTTGGTGCAGTGCCCTAAGCATCCCAGCAAAAATCCCTAACCATCCGGGCCCTTTCCTAAACTCATTCCGCAGCATAACCGCTAAGCCTAAACCCCTAAACCCATAAATAACCTGAAACCCCTCAGTAATCCTTATAGACACCTGAACCGTAAGTTTTTAGACCCGAGACCCCTAAACCCTGGGCTCTTACACTCCGAAACGAAAAAACGCTAAACCTGATGTACATCTACTTCCTTCAGCCCTGAATCCTCGGGTCCGAAACCCTAAACAGCCTAAACCCTAAACCCCCTCCCCGAACACAAAGGGTTTAGGGTTTAGGGTTCAGGGTTTAGGGTTCAGGGTTTAGGGTTTAGGGTTTAGGGTTTAAGGTACATCTACTTCCTTCAGCACCTCTACGCCATGATCCGGGATGAGGCATGGACCAGCTACCGGGGAAGGGACTCGCCCGACCGTGGTGTGCACGAATCGAAGTATGCGCTTCCACGGAAGAAGCCGCAACCTACACCGGACTTTAGTTTTCGTTTTTTCATGGACATCTTTGCGAGATAGTCGGGTTTGGGGTGTGGGGGTTTAGGGTTTAGGGGTTTAGAGATTGTAGCACCACGTAAAACTGGCTTTGACCTCACCGAGTCTGCGACGCTCGCGCAAAAAGAGCTTGGTTGAAGGCGTGCCGAAGGCCAACTCCTTGCCTAAGCCATGAGACCTAAATTACCTAGATCCGAACTGCTTAGCATCGCTTTTTCTGGTGAGCTCTGGTCGTTCGCCTGAGTTGTGCTACACGCGGAGTGCACGGAGGTCCTAAAACCTCTCATGCTCTAGCCTGTGATTCTCAACAGGTCTTGACGGTTTAGGGTTCAGGGCTTTAGGGTTTGGGGTTTAGGGGTTGAGGGTTCAGGGTTTTGGGGTTTAGGGTTTAGGGGTTGAGGGTTCGGGCTTTTAGGGTTTAGGGTTTAGGGTTTATATTTCGACTGTTCCTAGCTGTGTCGGAGCCCTACGTTAAGAACCCAAAACCCACTTTTCTGTAGGTTCTTATTCTAAACCCTAATATGGGATTTATAGGGACCCTACCCTAAACCCTAAACCCTAAACCCTAAACCTACAAAAAAGGCAGGTTTTGGGTTCTGAAAATAGAGCAGAGACCAAGACCTCCAAGTGACGAGACGAGGATGGGCTCTCCGGTCGTCCAAAGTGGTGTGCGCGAGGCCGGACAAGCATAGGGTTTAGGGTTTAGGGGTTTTGGGTTTTTAGGTTTTAGGGTTTTTTACGTTTTAGGGTTTAGGGTTTAGGGTTTGAATAAAGCCTCGCGCCCAACTTTAAACCCCAAACTCTCAACTAACCCTAAACCCTACCTATCAAACCAAGCAGTAAATTGCCATTATAGCAGTTTAAACAAGACCTTGAACTCAAACCCACAGATCCGAGCAAGACGAGCTGATTAAATGTCAGCCCAGCCCAGCCCAGCCTAAAAGAAAAGCTCAGTCAAAGCCCAGGGGCCCAAACCTGTGCGGTTCGAAACCCTACTGGGCAGGTGCCCCATTCCACTTATTCTCGTTCCTGCATTACAAGCCCTTACTCCCTCAAAGCATTTATGAACGCCCCCCAAAACGCCTTAGGCCTCAAATCCTGTATAATTACACCAAGCCCCAAACCCTGAAATCTTCAGCCCTGCAACAGCCCCCTACAAGAATCAAGCGTAAACCCTAATTAAAATAGGGGCCTAAATATTTACCTATACTATTTTTGGGGCTCCTTTTTGTAGAATTATAGTTATAGCATAATAAACCCCCAAACCCTGCTCTGACTATTAAGGCCCCTATATTCAACCCTGAACCCAAAGCCCCCCCAAAAGGCCCAAACCCTAAACCCTAAACCCTAAACCCCAAACCCCAAACCCAAAGCCTCCCCCCAAAAGGCCCAAAGGAGGCCGCCTTTCAGGCAGCCGTCAACGTGACCTGGTCGGATGGCTCCGCGTTGATCCCTGCAGCCTGGCAGCCTGAAGGGTTTAGGGTTTAGGGTTTAGGGTTTAGGGTTTAGGGCTTTAGGGTTTAGGGTTTAGGGTTTAGGGTTTAGGAGCCTGAGCAGCTGTGAATGGGCATGCTCCTGACGGCAAGACACGATTTAGGGTTTAGGGTTTAGGGATGTATATGGGAGCTTCCGAAAATCAGGGGACTTTATTTTGGGGATCCTTATCATAAGGGTCCTATCATTTAGGGTACAGGGTCCTATCATTTAGGGTACGACACCATGTGTATGGGTGGTTCTCTGAATTAGGGTCCCTTTTTAGGTCCCCAATGTAGTACGGCACCCTTACAAAAAGGACCCTAAAAGGAACCCTAGTTTAGAGGACTACCCATATGTGTAGGTATGATGTATGTATGTACATGCATGCATGCAACGTACATGCGTAAAAATGTGTCAAAGTCCACACATATAAACCACACACACACACACACACGCTCACTCTCTCTCTCTCTCTGTCCCTCTCCCTCTCCCTCTCCCTCTCCCTCTCCCTGTCCCTCTCCCTCTCCCTCTCCCTCTCCCTCTCCCTCTCCCTCTCCATCTC